AATAAATATCCAAATAATAATAATAATAATAATAATAATAATAAAAATAATAATAAAGAAATAACAAATATCCAAATGATCGTACACTGGGGATCAGAGTTGGCAAATGCTAGTTGTGTTCAGCGGGAACAGAGATTCGGATGCTGAATGTACGGAATCAGCTGTAGCACTTCTGAGGAAAGGGTTTCGTGCATAAATGACCGGAAACATGACGATTACATATATAAAAGAAATAAATTGATGTATAAGCTGTTATGTCATTATGGGCATTGGGGTGAGTGAGTGAGTGAAAGAGAGAGAGAGAGAGAGAGAGAGAGAGAGAGAGAGAGAGAGAGAGAGAGAGAGAGAGAGAGAGAGAGAGAGAGAGAGAGAGAGAGAGAGAGAGAGAGAGAGAGAGAGAGAGAGAGAGAGAGAGAGAGAGAGAGAGAGAGAGAGAGAGAGAGAGAGAGAGAGAGAGAGAGAGAGAGAGAGAGAGAGAGAGAGAGAGAGAGAGAGAATCATAAGAAGGATGATGCTCTTTATTGATTTATTTTCAACTTTTCTTTCAATCTATTCTGCGTCCAGTCTTTTTTATTTTTCTTCTTTTTTTCTTTCTTTTCGTTATTCTTTTCTTTTCTCTTTCTCTTTTTTTTATTTCTGTTTTCTTTTTCTTTATTTATTTTCATTTTCTTCTCGTTTTTCTTATTTTATTCTCCTCTCCGTTTTTTTCTCTCTTCTGAGGGGTTTCTCTTTGTTTTCTCTATTATTCTCTTCCCCCCATTCTTAGGGACTTTCATATCGTTATGTTTATTTTCGTTTTCTCCTATCCTTTCGCTCTCTTCTTCGTTCTTCTTGTCATTTTCTTTTTCTTCTCTTCCCTTTCTCTTTGTTCTTCCCTTATACTTTTCTTTTCGTTATCCTTGTTCTTCTTTCTTTCCTATTCTATTTTCCCGTCTTCCCCTTTTTCTCTATCTCATTCTTCTCTTTGTTTTTTTTTTGTTCCTCTTTTTTTTCTTCTCTTCCCTTTCTCCTTCTCTTTCGTTTTGCTTTCCCCCCTCTTCTATTCTTAGTCTTTTCTTTGTTTTTTCCTTCTCTCCCTTTTCCTTTTCTCGTTTTCTTATTTTTCTCTTCTTTCTCTCTTCTTTGTCTTCTTTTTTTCCTTTTCTTCTTTTGTCTTTTTTTCTTTTTCTTTCTTCTCTTTTCTACTTTTTTCTTTTTCTTTCTTCTTCCCTCTTCTTCTCTCCCCTTTTTCCAATCAACTAGCTGGGCTCCCCTAACACAAACAAGTCTCTAAGTGTGTTATTGGTTCTCCTAGTGTTTATCATTGCCTCTTTTATCATTTCTCTCTCATTCCCCCTTTGTTTCTAACCTTCATTCTGTGTTATTACTTTAATTGCGGTGTTCTCTTCCTCTTTATTTCCTTCTCTCTATTATCACGTTTCTGTCTTTCATCTCTTTCTTCTGTCTACTTATATCTGCTACTGCTCTTGTTTATTTTTTTTTTTTGAACTTTTATCTCTCTATTCTATTTTCCTTTCATTTCTCCTCTTTCGACCCTCTGCTAGGTAGCGAGATAGAACACTACTGCGTCTCTCACTTGATGTACGTATGTGTCTGTTTGTCTGTCTGTCTGTCTACCTGCTTGAATGTCTGTGTCTGTGTCTGTCTCTGCCTCTCTGTCTGTCTGTCTGCCTGTCTCTCTCTGCCTTTCTTCCCTCTCCCTCTCTATCTATATATCACTGTTTCTGGCAATGTGTCTGTGGTTTTTAATAAATTTCTTTGTGTGCTTTCACCTGTCTCATGCATGTTTGATCATGTTATTTCTTCCTCTTTCCCTTCTCTCATTCGTACACATATACTCACTTCCTTCTTTGTTTCGTTCCCCACCTCTCTTTTTTTCTTTTACTGTATCCGTCACCTTTTCTAGATCTCTTCCCAATTTCCCCAATTCCACCTCTTTCTGTATCTCCTCATCCTCTTTCCATTGTCTCTCTCTTCCTCTATTACCCTCCTTGTCTCCTGACTGTCCACCTCATCTCTCTCTCTCTCTTTCTTTCTCTCTCTCTCTCTTCTCCACTCTGTGTCTCTGTTTCCTTCTCTCCTCGCTCTATGTCTTTGTTTCCGTCACCTTGCTCCATCTCTCCTCATTTGCCTCCCTCTTCCTCTCTCTTCTCTCTATCTCTCCCTTTCATTTCCTCGTTCCGAGGCTTCCTCTCCTTCTGTCAGTCTCCTAACTCCCATCTCCCTTTTTTCCCTCTCTCTATCGTCCCCTATCACTCCTTCCTTCTCCCTTTCCCTCTCTCTCCTCTCGTCTCCTTCCTCTCACAATGGGATACAGCGCCAAACTCCCATCTCTCCGTCTTTTCCTCTCTCTTTCTCTCTTCTCCTGTCTCTGCCTATTCCTCTTTCCATCCCTCCTCCCCCTTGCGTCCCTCTCCTTCAGCCAGTCTTCCCGTCTCCCTCCTCTCACAGTGGGAAACAGCGCCAAACTCCTAATTGGATTGAGCCAAACAGGTAACAC